CAACTCTTCCTATCTCATTCCTTATGTTGACCCATCTCCGTATTTTTGCCATCACCATCATATTTATTCTATCACTTAAGGCTCGTTTGGTACGAGAGATAAAGGATAATTAATCCCGGAATTCAATTTGAGATGAGTTTATCTCATGTTTGGTTGGGACAAAATTGTGGTATAACCAATTCCGGGATTGTGGTATGTTTTTTATCCCTATGGGAGGGTGGGATAAGTAAACTCGGGATAACTAATCCCACAATAATTAATCATGGGATAACTTGTTTCCTAACCAGACGACCCCTTATTCTCTATCGCCGACCACAAAAATTCAATTGACCCGCTTCAAAACTCTAGACCGCCGCCCCCGGCCCATTTCTTTCAAAACCAAAACATGTACTAGTTATTATCCCCAAGATTGATAACTATTTCAATTTAGGATCAAGCAAACTCAACGATTTCGAGCATCCAATCAAAGTAAGAAAAAAGGACTAGGATCTACTCGTAGAACAATAGTTACAAAGAGGACTCGTTCAACTTCAAATGACTCCATACGTGATGCTAGTAGCTATTATCTACCTTTGTCTTCACTACTTTATACGATCCAAGATATCCAACATGCGCGTTACTTTGGCAATTGGGAGGTTATGTGTGTAAAACGCTCACTAGTTTTTTCCCCTCTACTCATTCTGATTTCACTCAATTGTGCTTGTATCACTCCTTCGTCACTCCTCACTATCGATTGGAATCTGTGAAACCCTAGGGCTTCAACAACCACTATAAATTGGAGCTTTTAATATTTTCACCTAACACACAGCGAGATATACCTACCAACTACACCTAGCATATGAGAATTTAATAGATAAAATAGTTGTTTAAGAAATTCCGATAAAAGTCTACGTTCTTGATCAATTTCTGCTTTTCCTTTTCTTTTTGATTATGAGTTTGTTACTGATTGAGAGCTTGATCTCTTGGCTTCCTAAAGGCTAATTTGAACACTCGTTTGGTTTGCTGCCCCAAATGAGGTATAACCATTCGGCATGCCGAGTTCTCAAAAGAACTCAGACCCAAATCTTACACCAGCACACTTAGGAGTCTAAAGCCCGTTGTTGTCCGTTCATGCAGTTTGTTGGGCCTACCTTTTTCAGACCCAAATTAGAGTCCTTAATCACTCCTTACTGCCTTATTATATTTTGTTACTCATATTTCTCACATGTATATGACATTTCCCTTTATCATATCCTAATAAAATGCTTTACTTTAGCTCTTAAATCATGTAAGCAACTTAGGCAAGCCCTCAAGGGCATAAAATTAAATGAAACGTTAAGCTTAATAGTAATTAGTTTAAATTCACTAATCATATGCTGCTCATGCTATTAATCTCCTATGTTTTACTAATATTTCATGAAGAGTTTTGAAGCAAAAAATAGCTTAGCAAAGGACGGCAATCTCTCTTTTCAAAAACCATAAATGGAATCCAAAACAGGCCTTCTAAAAAAACGAATCTTTCTAAAGCAAAAGTGGTGCTGCCCAGCAAAAGATTTTTAACGATTTCCTCGAGTCTAAGAATTGAGATTTTGAAAGTCAAGGTACATCTTAGGCTCATTTTCTTACAACATCTTTAATTTATTAGAATTACGTGAATAGCCACATTCTTTAAATACAAAGCATTTTATAGCTTAACCCCTTCTCACATGTTTCATAAACATAAACATCACACACATGTTTTGAACTCTTTCAATTATATATACAACTATTATCTTCAAAGACTCTTTCAAAAACTCATATCCTTTTAAAACTACACATCCCCTTTGTAAATATCATATTTTAAATCAAATATATATAGTAAGTCGTACCCCTTAACACTAGTTAAGCAGTATATAGAAAATTAATCCTTTAAATTTAGTCTAAGTCCTATGGAGCTACCTCAGGTAGATTTTAAGGGGTGCCTAACGCCTTCTCTTTAGAAGAACAAGAACCCTTATCCACAATCTCACCGGTTTGCAAAGTAATAAAGAAACGACCTTTAGTAATTAAATATGTACCCTAGTATACATTTAAATTTTAGATGACGACTCTCTTTTATCATCAATAAGGAAGCCACGAGTTGAATCTTATTTTGACTCGCGCAAAATAGGGTGCAACACATGTAATTGGAGGTTATACTTGTAATAAGTAACTATTCTTAGTTCCTTAGAATTAGCTTAAGGTTATTTGGGTCATTTATAGTCAAATGCTTGAGGCTTTAATTTAGGGAGACTATTTTTTGACGAACAATGAGTTCTCTTTGGAGATGTGTAATAGTGGTTGATTGCCATTGTTGATAATAACTTGTTGAAGGTGTGTTCTTCAAGTGGAATTCACACTTCCACGGGTATTCCTATAGTCACATCATATAATATTGGGTGATTGATTAGTTTAATTTTTTTGCATTACTACTTTATTGGATCTATTCTCGAATTCTATTATTTATCTTTACTTTTTTATCTTCCGTATTTAGATTCGCATCACTCCTTCGCCTGAAAGGCATACAAACATAAATAATGCATAATCAGTGTATTATAAATGTATAATGAGTGTATCACGTATAATAAGTTATAATCAAATACTCATAGGATATACACTTTATTACACACCGGTAACGGAGAGGACGACATCGTGATTCGTGTATATATATATATATATAATACGTGAATATTTGATGAGTTTAAACTATACTAAATATAAACTTATTATATAGTATACTTAGCGTGTATACACTAACTATACAATGCCACCATCTTTAGATAACTACAAACTCATAGTTCAAAATTAAAATTGTGTGAGATTCCTATTCCCTTATTTGTGTTCGAAGTGAAAAAAAAACCCTCCAAATTTATGCTGAATTATAATGTTCACACGCCTTATACGTGCTCACCCCCCCCCCCCCCCTCTTCTTCCTTTTTTTTTTGGTCCGAATGGATTTCTAGTCAAGCTATCTGTGCAATTTCTTTTCCATTTTTTGCTCGAGTGTTAAGGGGAGGAAAAAAAATATTTTTAGGTTGGTAGTCTAACGACCAAAGAAAATAAAGGCAGAAAGTCATACTTAGATAAGAAAGGTAAAAATTAAAAAAGGACAACTTCATTTCTTTCCTTTTTTCTTCTTAACCTTCTTTCTTAGGCGAATTACAATGTATATGAATGAATAACATAATATTTATCACGTTATTACGCTAAAGTTAGATTCACTCCAAACAAGAATAAGAGGTAAAAAGTCTCAAATTTTAGGCGTATAAGAAAGTTTTAGGACAATGTTTTTGTAGGAATTGTTGGGACAAGTTTAAAGTAGAGGTGTTAATCGGGCCGGGCTGACCCGCTAACAACCCGGTTCAACCCGGATCAGCCCGATCCAGTCCGTTATTGTGCATATGTGTGCGGGTTGGGACGGGTTGGACGGGGGCGGACTAGTAACGTTAAGTTTTTGCCAAACGGGTACCCGAACCCGCCACAACCCGTTAAGCCCTTAACGGGTTCTTAACGGGCCGCAACCCGCGACAACCCGCAAAATCGCCTAATTTTTATTTTTTATTTTAAATTAAATCTGACCGTTAAAAGAAAAATATAAGATAGTTAAAAATAATATTAAAAAAAAACACGAAAGCCCGACCCGTCCGAACCCGCTAGGCCCGAACCCATACGGGCCCTATAGAACCCGAAAAATTCCAGCCCGCCACCAGCCCGTTAACTTTAGCCCGCTAACAACCCGCCCCGTAACCCTAACGGACTGACCATTTTTGTGTCCAGCCCGTCCCAACCCGTCCGATAAACACCTATAGTTTAGAGAGGGCAAAATATATATAAAAGGAAAAAGGAGCTTAAGGTCAAATTCCTATGACACACCGGTTGATCACGACTAACCTTCTGCATATATAATTTTTTTAAAATATGTCTAAGACACATCACTTTCTCTTATGTTATGACACATTTCAAAATTGAATGTGTAAAAATTATGAATGATCAACAAGTTTATCATAGGGATTTGACAGAAAGGTCAAGGGTAAACTAGGTATTCTGCCAAGAAAAAAAGAGTCAAATGATAATTTCCATCTAGAAGCAAGACAAAATAAGAAAGAATCCAATTTCAGCCAATGAAATGAGGCTATAGTTTGCAGGTGATGTTACTATAAGTGCACGTGCATTGAAATTAATGGACTACTCCCTATTTTCATTGGCCACCACTGATCTTTTTTGCACAGTAGTAAAGATACTCAATAAGTGTTTGCTTAATGCAGAAGACAAACTCCTTTAATTTAATACTATAAACTCTTCTCAATATCTATATTTCTATTGGACCAACTCACCATTTTTTTTTCATTGTTTCCTATTCGGTGTTCGATATTCATATTAAAGCCTTAACTAAGCTCCCGTTTCAGACATAAAATTTGGAAGTTTTTTTCTAATTTTATTTTTAAATATTTACTTGTTTATAGATTTTATTTTGTTGTTGGTATTGCTTGTTGTTACTGCTTTCTTTTTCTTTCCTTGAGCCGATGGTCTATCAAAAATAACATCTCTACTCTCAAGATAGGGGTAACGTCTGCGTACACACTACCCTCCCCAAACCCTACTCGTAGGATTATACTGGGTTTGTTGTTGTTGTTTAGATTTTTAACCATTTTTTTTTTGTAGATTTTTGTAAGCAAAATCTTCAAATCTAAAAAACAACTTTAGTAGTTTTTAAAGTTTTCTACTCACAAAACTTTAAATTCTTTTCAAGTAAAATACATGTTCAAATACAATTTTAACTTTCAAAAAAGTCTTTTTTCATCTCATTTTTTTTTTTTTTTTAAGTTTCTACTAAATCTATGTCCTTACGCTAGCTAAGTGAATTTGCGTCGCTCAAATCCTATTAAAGGGAAAATGCTCTTTACCGTGAAAGGATTCTATCCGTCCCATGCAAACTGTCGCCAACTTATTATTCTTCTTGAATTCAATATTATTACTCTTCAAATTATTCCAAAAAAAGTTCAAACTTTTTCACAAAAATATCTGCTTCTTTAGTTATTTTCTTTGCTTAAAAATGGACCCCACCTGCTCTTCTTCCTCCTCCACAACATAAGAAATAACCTGTGTCGGTTCCTCAGATCTTTTTCATTTTCAGACAACCATACAATACAACAGAATTATGAAAAACTCCACCGACTTAACACAGTTGCTGCTTTCAGATATTTCTTTGTTTCTATGTCGGCGGTACCTATATAAACCTCTCTTAAACCCCATTTTTTCACCGTCCTTCGTTTTATCAAACACCCTTGAGGAAATTCTCTCTCTTTGATCCATAAAAATCCAATCTTTATATTGTTCTGAAAAAAAATCATATGAACCCTTTTGATAAAAACCCAATTTCTCAACCTTCTGGGTCAGAATCTGATACACTGCCACCACACAGTATTACTATGGACCCTGAATTTGCTGTGTTTTCTGAGGCCCCATCTTCTCATTTTATCAATCTTGAATCTTTTTCAGCTGGGGAGGAAGGATTAGGTGTGGTGCAGCCTATGGAGTGTTTACATGGGACACAAATTCCACCATTTTTGTCAAAGACTTTTGATTTAGTTGATGACTCTTCATTGGATTTTATCATTTCTTGGGGTAGTAAAGGAGAAAGCTTTGTAGTGTGGGACCCAGTGGAGTTTTCAAGAATGATTCTTCCCAAAAATTTCAAGCACAACAATTTCTCCAGCTTTGTGAGACAGCTTAATACTTATGTGGGTATCACCTTAGCACAAAGCCAAGAATATTTGGCTCATGTGTTAGCACTCTAGTTCTCTAACTCTTGCCTCCTTTTTTTTGGTTAATTCTTTTACCTTGTATGTAATTGTTGTTGGAGATTTTCATGCATCTTTGTTTTTTTTCTTCTCACTTTCTGTAAATTTTTAGTATTTATTTATTTATGTTGTTGTTATGGAATAATACGGTTTGTGAAGATTCATGTAGGCGACCAACTTGTTCGGGACTGAGGCGTAGTTGTTGTTGCTGTTGTAATAATTTGTAACGGTGACGATGTAAATGTAAATAGTTCTTTTCTTGTGTTGTAATTAGTAGTGGCTACAGTTGTAAATAACTTCAGAGAAACGACTTTTCATAATAGTTTATTAGTTTTGGTACTCTGTAAATGGATGTCTTTGAAATTTTTGGTGGATATTAAGGAAAATGATAAAGGTTGCGCTGTTCGCGGTTTGGGCTTGTAGATAAAGCTAAGATGCTGAGAGCATCTCTCTGCATTAATCTGCTGAATTTGGGAGGTTCATCAAATTCTGCAGGTAGAATTTCTAAGGTTTTGATTAAACAGCTTGTTTAAGCTTTCTATAGTTTATATATATACGGTTTTTACTGCAAAAGATGTGCTGATTGTGTATTTCTAGTGTAATGCAGCTTCAGTAACTCATGAAAATTTGACAGCTAACATCTGGTTTTGTGTGAAGTTTTCATTGTGTTATATGAATAATGAATGTATTCTCATGTTGTAGGCACGTTGGGTTCTATTATTCAGTTTTTAAATCATTTTTTGGGCAATTTTGTCCAGGGTTTTCGCAAAGTTGATGCTGATAGGTGGGAGTTTGCGAATGAAGGGTTCTTGAGAGGAAAAAGGCATTTGTTGAAGAACATACAAAGGCGAAGATCACCTCAGTCGCATCAGGCGGGGAGTTCATCTGCTGAAGCAGGGAAAGGTACAATGGATGAGATAGAGAAACTGAGGAAGGAGAAGAGTTCGATGATGCAGGAAGTCGTTGAATTGCAGCAGCAGCAGCGTGGAACGGTCCAACAAATGGAGGCTGTTAATGAAAAGCTTCAGGCTGCAGAACTGAGACAGAAACAGATGGTTTCATTCTTGGCCAAGGTGTTTCAGAATCCCGCATTCTTGGCTCGTCTTCGGCAGATGAAGGAACAAGAAAAAATTACTTCTCCAAGAACAATGAGGAAATTCGTTAAACATCAGCCACACGATCAGGATAGACTGGAGTCTTCCATTGAAGGGCAGATAGTCAAGTACAGGCCTGATTTTCAAGACCTTGTTACATCCTTTGAGAACCCAGACTTCAATCCGGTTGTGGATCAACAACTACCTGAAACTGGTTTTGGTGCAGAAGCAATGCTTTTTAAAAATCAAGAACGGGTTATAGAAGGAGCTTCGAACTTTAACCCCGAAGACTCTTATTTTGAGGGGAAGAATGTAGCTAGCCCTCAATTAGAAGTCATGCCTGAGTGCTTTGTCTCTTTCCCGGAGGAGTTGGCAAAGGAGAAGAACATCTTAGAATTTTGCTCACCAGGTATTGGAAGTATGGTGAAAGAAGAGGAAGTATGGAGCATGGGTTTTGAAGCCAGTGCTGGTATGTCAAGTACTGTCACTGAGTTATGGGGTAGTCTTAGCAACTATGATGTCCCAGACTTTGGAGTTAGTGCCGGTTTGCCAGATGTGTTGTGGGATATAGATCCCTTGCAGGAAGCTGGAAGTTCTGGTGTCGATAAGTGGCCAAATGATGAGTCTCCTTTTGGCCAGCCGAAGAATGATAGTTTTTAGGAAAGACTACCCTTCCTTCAGTGTGCGTTTGCGATACTAGCCATAGTTTAGTTGATGGGATATAATATTGAATGATTTGATTATAACATTTTTAGTGCATAATTACTTTCCACTGATTCTTTTCTTCTATATTCCCCTCTCCCTGGTCTGCAATTTTCACTGCTAATGGTGCTTAACTGTAAAGATTTGAAGGCATAATCTGCAGATATTTCCTGCTAACATATATTCTTTAAAGTTGTGAAATGTGCAGGTTTGCAGCACTGGAGGCGAGTATGGGGTTTCTTCTGAGAAGGACCGGAATGACATTGCTCGCTCAAGATTTTTAATCCAGGTATGGGGACCTTGTGGTGACTTTTATGATTATGATTGCTTGATGAATAGTGTTATTTTACCAGGATTCTTTGACATGAAGCTGATAATAAACATACATGGTGTGCAGTTCTTGATTGTTACTTGCATTAGCTCACCAAGCCAGGCTGTTCTGAAGTTTCTCTTTGTCTGAGTGGAATGAGAAATTGGGAAGGTGAATTAGCATATCTCCTTCAGACTTGCTCCCCATTTTCCAACCAGAACCTACTAAAACAAACACTTTTGGGACTGTATTCAAGATACTATCTTAGGTAGTTTAACAAAACATTTGGTCAAGATAAAGAGAGGCTGAGGTATCGCATGCTTCTTTAGAAGTTTCGCTTGCAAAGTTTAGGAGAGAATCAAGAACTGATGGCCAAAAGGTGGCATTTTATCCAACTTAGTCACTGGATCCATAAATGATATTCATGATGTGTAGGAGGCGGACGAGAGTTTGAACCATCAACCAAGGGAAGAAGGTTGTAGTTTTTTTAAGGTTGTGACTGAGAATTCCTTCCAAGTCAGGTAGTTTCAGATACATAATTTGAAGAAATTGTTGATGTTAGAGACAGTTGGGAAAGATTTGGAAGGTCTAAGGAGGGGGATTGAGAGGAAATGAGTTGTGACTGGTAGAGGGATTTTAGAAGTGTTTCATGCTTTATAGCTTACATACTATTATTTGTTCTATATTTGATTGATTCCTTAATAGTATGTCTTCTTTGTTTAAGTTCTTTTGTTGCTGCTTCACTTGGATCTTATACCTCAACTAAGCAGCTTGCATTGTGGAGTCTCTGCCTTTGGTAAGCAATGATGCATAAAAAGTCTGCTAATAAATCCTGCTAAATGATTTGATTTCCATTATCTTATTTGTATCTTTCTAATTGTATAGGATGCTCCCCTGGAGCAATCTGATTGCAGCACACACATCTAACTTTTTGGACATTCTGTAAGACATGGCTAGGATGACCACGGCGACAACTTACTCAGTATAATCCCACTATGTGGGGTCTGGGGAGGGTAGTGTGTACGCAACCCTTACTCCTACCTTGTGAAGATCTACCTTGTGAAGATAGAGATGTTGTTTCCAATAGACTCTCGGCTCAGGAAAGCATAAGCACCACATTAATGTAAAGAAAGACAAGAAGAGACCACACTGAGAATCCATGTAAAAGCAGCATAAAAACAAGAAGACAATAAGATGACCAACATGTAAGAAACGATAGATGGTCATAGAAACCTTAATACCAATAGAATGATATGCACTAATACTACCAGTATGAATAATCTTGACCATCTAAACTACTATCATAATCCTCGAACTCCACACCTCTTTTCAAGGGTCATGTGTTTGGTCAGCTAAAGATGCACCATAGTTAGGATTTGGAAAAAAAATATTCAATGGACAATTCTGAAAAAGTAAATGAAGTGGAGTAGAGGGTCATTTCTAAGTATCTAACAGTTCATTTTATTTTGTTTTCCAATTATATATTATCGAAAGTTGCCACTTAAAATGCCAAGTTTCATTTTTCTGGTTAATCATTTTGAACTCTAATAAATTTCATCTCGATGACAAATTGTCACTTTTGCGCATAAATATTATAGAAACCTTCCAGAATATAATGTTTTGAGTAACCAAACCAATTTTTCTTAGACAAAGTGACCAAACTTATAGCCTCTTTGGCCAAACTCCTCCAATCCTAGAAGCACTTTTTTATCAAAAAAAAAAATGCTTAAAGTTGAAGTGTTTGGTCAAGTTTTTGGAAAAAAAAAAAAGTGCTTTTGAGGAGAAGCACAAGAAGTTTTGGAAAAGCAGAAAAAAGTAGCTTCTCTCTAAAAGCACTTTTGAGAAAAATACACTTAGAAGCAGTTTTTAAAAGCTTGGTCAAACACTAATTGCTGTTCAGAAATAATTTTCAAATTAATTAGTCAAACGTAAACTATTTCTCACCAAAGATACTTTTGAGAAAAATACTTCTCATAATAAGCTGATTTTTGTAGCTTGGTCAAACATGACTATTAGTTGTTTTGAGTAACCAAACCTAATTTTCTTACACGAAGTTACTCAGGTATATAACAATATCTTCAAGTCAATGAGAGAGGGGTAGAAGGAAAAAAGAAAAAGGAGATACATTCTGTCTTCTTAATGCTCGAGTTGTTAGGAAGCTAAAGAATATCTTCACTAGATACATTTCGGGTGTTCCAAAGGTTTAAGAATAATGCTATCATCCAAAAGGTTGGTCAAATTCTCCAGAGAAAAGTTTCACTCAAGCGATAAAATCAGGATCATTTTTGTTTGAAAAAATGACACTGTATAGTTAAAAATAATTGCTGAAAAATGTATAAAATTTGTATATCTTTTGCATATATATACATTCTGAATTTTATACACTTTTTTAACTACCCGATGTAAATAATTCCTGGCGCGGGCTAAAAGTGATAATACCCAATTTTGTTTTAATAACGTCCAAAACTAGATCTAAGTAATCATTAGGAATTCACATTGTTAAGCTAGCTCTCATAGACAGAACACTAACCCTTATGTTTGAGCAATAATGGATCTAGAGATTGTAAACACTATTTCTCTATTAGGAAACATTTGAGGCAGAAATTGCATGTACGCTAACTCAAAAATAAGTAAATCAAAGTGTGCTTTCCTATAATACAAATTCCCGTTATAATTCTTATACATACAAAATCATTTCTGGACAGAAAATTAAAGAACTGTTATTGCTGGCTTTAACAAAATCACATGGCTAAACAAATATTCCAGGAGGAAGTGTACAAGCCAATTGCAAATGGTATTCTCAGAGAAATGGCTGCTTGAATTTGTGAAAAAATTACGGGCTCTACAAAGACATTCTGAACGAATATGTACAGAACAGACGCCTGCAAACAGCACATTGATATCAAACTTCAGCACTCTATACAGCAGAAAGTTGTTAATGTACACTTCATCCCTACCAATGGTTACAAATGCATATAGTCATGTACGATCAAAAGAAACAGCAAAGAAAGATGAGAGGTGAACCCCTCACATCTCCCAAGAAACCTCATTGCAAGAAGGTTACATTCAAACGAAATATTCTAGTGCTATTGTGGAAACTAATGGCAGATTTGCACCGCCTTAAAATTGGAGTAACACACCAAGGGAAATGCAAAATTTAGCAGAATGAAGAGAGATTTCGTGGGAAAAAAAAGAAGAGAGAGATTTTAGGATTATCGAACCTGAAGTAACTGAAGCATTGTTCCTCCCAGAAAGGTGATTAACAAAGAATGTCAAATATGTGCAGAATTCATACATTTAATACACGCATTCACGTAAGCAACTGCATGTCTGTACGACCTGGTTGAGGAGGTGTTACAGGAGGTTTAATTAGTGGTCTCAGCATATCCATGATTACAGAAAAGGAGGGACGTTTCCATGGTTCTCTGCAATATTATCAGAAGTAACATCAAGAGCACATCAAAGCAAACGAAAAGTCTCAGTGATTGAACTATGGAAGAATATAAGCAACATACTTGGCCCAGCAAGCCTCAATAATGCTTGCCACTTGAGGATTCAAGTCACGCGGAATTTCGAGTCTTTTCCCCTTAAAGCCGACAGCTGCTACAACCTACAGGTTCAGATGCATTACATCAATACAGCAATCACAAGAATGGATAGGCACTGCATCTTGCCCGATTTCTTAAAGATGAACATACCAATTAAAACAGCAATGCATATGTTCCACATTAAAATATAACTAAGATGCAGTACAAGTGCCAAGTAATGTTGTAAATAATCAGCAGATCCAAGTTCTCTTTCTAACATAAAATCAATGCTTACAAACAAAGTTACCAGAAAGTTGTTGCCACCTAGCTATCGAGACAAAAAATCAAGCACTCTACCTGATTTTTAGTACAAGTGAAATATAAGAAATCAAAAGAGAGCACTTATAGAATTATCTTCCTTGCAATGGATACTGTTTTATCCACATCTTTTTGTCTCAACTTTTTTCGTACTTGACTGTAACTTTGGCAGAGAGAGGTCCTTGACAACATGTAGCTATCAAGAAACAAAAATACAGAACACAAATCAAACCCAAAGCGAAACAGAAAGAGCATCCCTATAACATCTCCACTCACAACCCAATGAATGACCAACTCTCTACAGAAACCACATGGAGATAAAAGGCCACTCACAACTGCTGAAGCAAATTGGATTATTCTCTATCACCTGGTATGAGTCATACCAGGGATAAAAGGAACAAAAATGACTTGAGCAAACTCTTACAAGAAATTGAGTGGCCTCTACACCTAAATGAAGTATTGCAAAACAAGGTCCCGCTTTTCCAGGAAATACACTGTTCTATATCCCGTGAATGAGCCATTTGACATAAGAGGAATAAAATGACTCTCTGTGCAACTGATGCCAAATTGGAATGTTTCTATCACCCGTAAGCGACTTCAACAATTCATTTTCACATCCCAATAGATAGCTTTAGGTTCTTTCACCTATACACAGCTATTCCTCTGGATTGCATTTACTAACATCAGGTTTTCTACCTTAAATACCCATGTGGACAAAAGGACTTAAAGATAGAAATGCAAACCTGTGCTGGGTTCAAATTACTCCAGGGTTGTTGCAACGTTGCGAGCTCCCACAAAATGACACCAAAGCTATATACATCAGATTTCTCATTTGATGGTTCATCACGAAGAACTTCAGGTGCCATCCATTCCGGCTATCACAAGAAGAACCAGACAAAATTTACTCCTTTTTCTCATTGGTGAAACAAAGTGCCAAAGATGAACAAAAGACAATCAAATCATATGTTGAATGAAGAACTTACAGTCCCAGCAGCCGACTTTGATGAGAGAAATGTGTTCGCTTTTAAACGAGAAAGACCAAAATCACAGACCTGGTGAAAACATAAAACAGGTGAGGGACGTGCAGCATCTTTGCTAGTAATAAAAGGTAGCTTCAATAAATAGAAGATCTACAGAATATGCAAAAAATAAACACCATAACAAAACACAATTATTTATCTTAAACAACATTTTTTTTTTTGGATTGGTAACTATTGTATATATTAAAAACATCAGTACATAGGTTGCACTGAAAACCAAATTTACATGAAGAGGATTAGTAGATGTTCTAATTCGAGACAATCACAGGTTGTCATCATATAGCATTATAGACACAACTAAGAGACAATCACACTACACTATGCATGCTGCTAAGCTATGAAAAACAAATGCTCCTAACAGATCACTGACATTAAGCAATGAGATGTATTAAAAATGCATCTCCTTTCTATTTTGTTGCTTGACATCAGAATAACACTATATCAATCAGATCTCAGTACGTTTTCCTGTGTGCATGCTGTAAAGAAATAAGATAATCAAGATCGTAGATTTTGTTCATGATGGGTTCAACTTGTCACAAAGAACAGCCCAAATACATGCTCCTAACCTAAGAGGAAAGACATCTAATACAAATCATTAGTGAACTAAAGAAACTGGTTGAATAAGAGATTCTGGAGAAGAGGAGCAAATGATTAGACATGTGGCAAGCAAATGTAATGCACAAATATGAGACGTAATGAATAATAAACCAAAATACAATAGAACAACAACTAGTACTATTATCCCCAATCCCACACTAGTGGGGATCAGCAGTAAGAATCCTCTGCATTCATTCTGTTCCATTTTGACATGTCTCATTCCACTATGCAATAATTGGTTCGTCGACACACATATGGGTTCTCTAAGACTAGAAATTCCTTATATTCTCACACTTATCTCCATAGTAAACTAAAATACACTAAAATGCCTCCCTCCTCATAGTCTTTTAATGTCTTGAAACATGCTCATCCAGCACATTACCATTGTGCCAGATGATCAAATACCAGCATCCTAGCTACATGGCCATTGAACAGCCACAGTTCAAGATGGTCAATGTCCATTTAGATTACAGAGAAACTTCTGGACCTAAACATGCCTACAAAACCAAAAGTGTAATGTACAATCTTCAATATATATATATAATTTTTTTTATGGAATTTAATCCTCTCCGCAGCATCAGTACATTGTTAATTCTCCATTATCCGAGAAGTCTGACATAAGCTTTACCCCTTCACAACACTTGCTTCTTATTCTTTTTATTGATAAGGTAAATTGTATTAATCAAAAGAGAGAACTCCCGTATACAGGAAGTATACCAAAAAGTAGAGAATTTACATCAGAACATGATTCTCTACAAAAGACGCCCAATCTTCTATACAAGTAGGGGCTATATGAATGCACCAAAAAACGATCAAAGATAAAAGACTATTCTTAAGATGTGAAAAAGGAGACTCAATCCCCTCAAAAGCTCTCCTATTTCTCTCCCCCAAACTATCCACATGAGAGCTAACGGGCGAACTTCCACGCCTTTTGCTTTCTTCTTCTACGGAAACCGGCCCAGCTATATAACATCTCCTTTACAGTGCTTGGCATCACCCATTCAACACCAAAACGATTCAGGATTGCCCTCCACAAAGCCGAGGACACAGGACAATGCAACAAAAGATGATCAACTTCTTCCCCTGAGCTTTTACGCATGTAGCACCAACTAACAAGTGTGATTCCTCTCTTTCGAAGATTTTCAGCAGTCACGACTCAAGATCGCTCCCCTCGCCGCTAGCCATGCAAAAAAGCACACCTTCGTGAGCGCCTTAGGAATCCAGATCGAGTAGTATGGAAAAGCGGCCTCCTCTCTCACCAACATACTCTGGTAAAAGGACTTTACGGTGAACAAACCATCACCACGCAAACCCTATCTCCAAGAGTGGTTGGGGCCTGTCTTGCCCATATAGCAGTGTCAACAAATCTTGGAGCTCCGCAGTCTCCCAATCTTGCATGTTCCTTCTAAATGAGAGGTCCCATACTAAACCCCCTCCATGCTCCTTACAAATCTGTTGGACCATCAATTCCTTCTGATTTGAAACTCTGAAGACGTGAGTGAAGGAGACCCTCAGAGTATCCTCTCCACACCACCTATGATTCCAAAAGTTGATTTTCCTCCCATCTCCTACCCTGTAAGTGATGTTACCACTGAATGCTTCCCAATTCTTCGTGATGCTCCTCCACATGCCACACCCGAAAGGTGTTATGATTGCCTTGGTCCTCCAACCCCCTCCCATGGAATCGTACTTTTCTACTATGACCTCCCTCCATAGGGCATGCTCTTCTACCCGGAATCTCCACCGCCATTTCCCCCATAAAACTCTGTTGAATACCCTAAGATCTTTTACTCCAAGTCCACCCCACTTCTTTGGGGAAGTGACTGTCTGCCAATTCACTAGATGAAACTTTCTAGTTCCATCCACCGCATCCCAAAGAAAATTCCTTTGAAGTCGCTCCAATTTTTCTGTGATGCTTACCGGAGCTTGCAACATGGACAAGTAATAGGTGGACATACTCGATAAAGTGCTTTTAATAAGCACTTCCTTACCGCCTTTTGACAAATACCGTTTCTGCCAGCCTGCTAATCTTTTTTCAACCCTTTCGATCACTGAATTCCAAATCGTAGTATCCTTATGCGACGCGCCCAATGGGAGACCCAGGTAAGTAGTGGGGAGGAAGCCCACCTTACATCTGAGAACATAAGACAAAGCATCAATATTAGCAACCTCACCCACCGGGAAAATCTCACACTTGTCGGGGTTGATTTAGAGTCCTGATACTATCTGAAACCACTGCAGGACCTGCTTCAGGTAGGTCAACTGATCCATATTGGCATCACAGAAAACCAGGGTGTCATCCGCAAAGAGCAAATGAGATACTCTTCGGGCACTGAGCACCCCGATCGGAGTTGAGAATCCTCTCAAGAAGCCTCCGCACGCCGCATGATCCATCATTTTACTCAAAGCATCCATCACTAGAATGAGTAGCATGGGGGATAGGACGTCACCTTGCCTGAGACCTGTGGAGCTACCATAGAAACCACACAGGCTGCCATTAATCAAGACAAAGAATCTGACTAAGGAAATGCAGAACTTGATCCATCCTCTCCATCTTGCCCCAAACTCCATCCGCATCATAATGAAATCCAGGAACTCCCTATTGACATGGTCGAAAGCCTTCTCAAGGTTCAACTTGCATAGCAAGCCGGGTTCTCTATTTTTGAGTCTACAAGTTCATTTACCACCAAAGCAGCATCCAAGATCTGTCTACCTTCCACAAACGCATTCTGGGAGGACGAAACAGTCCCGTCAAGAACTTCTTAAGTCTGTTGGAAAGCACTTTGGAAATAATCTTGTAGATGCTCCCCACGAGACTAATAGGCCTGTAGTCTCTGATACAAAATGCACTTTCTTTCTTAGGCACAATAGTAATAAAAGAAACATTGATACTTCTCTCGGAAACACCATTCACATGGAAGTATTCAATGGCTTCCATCAACTCCCCCTTGATGGTGTCCCAACAGAGCTGGAAGAAGGCCAAGGAGAAACCATCAGGCCCGAGGGCCTTGTCACCAGCACAACTCGACACAGCCTCGTACACCTCCTTCTCCTCGAAAGCCCTTTCTAGCCACTCACTGTCTCCCTCCTCTATGTGGTTGAACTCTATTCCCCCCAAAGTCGGCCTCTAACTAACTTCCTCTTTGTATAAGTTCTCATAAAACCCCACTATCGCCCCTTTTACCTCCTCCTCTCCCTCAATCCTCACCCCATCCACAACGAAGGACTCTATGAAGTTTCTCCTTCGGTTTGTAACCACCACCCTGTGGAAAAACTTGGTATTCGAATCCCCTCCTTTAACCAGAGCGCCCTCGATTTTTGCCGCCATCTATTGCTTCTTATTCTTCAATAGCTTATGCTTATAAAAGTTTCTGAAACTAGACATCCTCTCTTTTTGTGTCTCTCTCTCCCTCCAT